GCAAAAGCAAGTGCTTTTGCGGAAAAACTTGCCAGCTGTCTACACTGGCCGCTTGAATTTCCGCAAGAACACTGACGATCTCATGTAAGATTGTCAGTGTTCTTGCGGAAATGCTATGCTGCTCCCGTTCGGGAAAAAGCCCTCTTGCACAATGCTTTTGCACAAGAGGGCCAATGTAGACAATGTGGTATTGTTTTGCGCAAAAAAGCCCCAATGGCGAAAATGGCGATCGGGGCTTTCTTGCGCAAAACCGCGTCTAGATTGGCACGGATGCTTTTCCACAAAAAGTGCTTTTGCGGAAACGTGTCCGTGCCAATCTAGACGCTCTTTTCCGCAAATGCTTTTAACAGAAAAACTTTTCCGTTAAAAGCATTTGCGAAAAATCATGCCAGTCTAGATGTAGCCAGTCTAGACGTAGTGAGTTAACTCAGGCTATGTCTACACTGCAGGCTTCTTATGCAAGAAGTTTTTTGTGGAAGAGATCCTCCTCAAAAATGTCATGCGCAAGAGCGCATCCATGCTGCAAAAGCACATTGAAAAACTGATGCGCTTTGTCGCAAGAGAGTGTCCAGACTGCATGGACATTCTCTCAAAAGGAAACTCTGATTGCTATTCACAGAATGGCCTGCAGGGCACCTGTGCTTTTTTCGACTGCCTCTTTTTGTGCACCCCGCCCCCCGCCCCCTGTTCCTCATCCATACCTACACCAGAAACAACGCTCGGTTCTTTCATTTTACTTGCGCAAAAATGCGCTTGAGGTGTGGACGCTCAGCAAGCTTTTGCGCAAAAAGAGGCATTTTTGCGCAACACCTCTGTAGTGTAGATCAAGCCTCCGCAATCACAAAGGATTTCAAGAAGCTAATTTTACCAAAGCTCATGAAGTCCTGAGCCAGAAAGCGAGGCCTGACACTAATAAAAGTGTAGCTCTGGGCAATGCAGTCTTTTGCATGCCACGGAATAGCTCTGTGCCTAAAGCGATGGGTCGGTGGGTTTTGCCACCCAGCGTCAAGTATGTGAATAGCTTTTAAAAAGTCAGCGCAAAACATTGGTGGAGAACAACTTCCACCTGATCCCCATGTTACAGACCTGGCTGGGTTTCTGGGCCTCTTCTAATCTCAGCATTTCTGATCCTCTTTCGCCCTGTTTCATTCAGACCTTTGTTATTAATGTTAGAATTCCTGAGCCTGCCGTAGAAGAGAAACCCATCAATTCTGTGCTGGGGACTCCTTGTTTGTGCTAACGACTTCCCCCCGACACCCTAATGAATGGTTGTATTAATAGGACCTACTTCACCACCATCTGCTGCTTGATGGAGCTAGCAGTGCAAAGAGCATCTTCCTGATACTGAGATGGCTCAGTGGTTTGAGTATTGGCCTGTTAAACTCAGGGTTGTGAGTTCAATCCTTGAGGGGACCCTCTTGGGCAAATCTGTCAGGGATGGTAGTTGATCTTGCCATGCGGGCAGGGAACTGGACTGGATAACTTCTCAAGGTCCCTTCCAGTCCTATAAGATAAGTATATCTCCATTTGTAGCCTGTGTAATAGTCTCCCATGTGGGCTGCTGGAAATCCCATCCCTTGGGATCTTGAAACTGGATGTTAGATAAAACACACTCTAGGGAACAACCGTGCAGTGACCAGAAATGGGCTGCAGGATCAGAGAGGTGTCTCTAACTCGCACTAGACCATGATACTATTTCTTCACCATTGCTTAGAAATTTGTACGTGGTGTGTCCACGCTCTCAAGCTAGAATAAGGGGCTGTGGAATTTGAACTCTGTACTCCCCCTTTTCATGAGGAGTAACACTAATTCTGAACTTGTACGTTCCTAATGACCTTCGTGTGGACAATGAAGTGGCACTAATTCAAACTAATTAGCCTCTGGGAGGCCTCCCACAGCTCCCCAGAGTACTTCCTGGGGCTCTGAGTCTGAGGTAGCGCGTCCACATTGATGGAGCCTGCCCCAGACTCATTTCAAAGCTTCCGTGTAGTGAGGACACACATAAGAACAGTCGTACGAGGTCAGACCAAAGGTCCATTCAGCCCAGCATCCTGTCTGCCGACAGTGTCCAACACCAGATACCCCAGAGGGAGGGAACACAACAGGTAATCCTCATGAGATCCCTCCCCTGTCACCCATTTCCAGACAGAGGCTAGGGACACCATGCCTACCTATCCTGGCTAATAGCATTTGATAGATCTAACCTCTATAAATCTATTTAGCTCTTTTTTGCACCCTGTTAAAGTCCTAGCCATCACCACATCCTCTGGCAAGGAGTTCCACAGGTTGCCTGTGCGCTGAGTGAAAAAAAACTTCCTTTTGTTTGTTTTAAATCTGCTGCCTATTCATTTCATTTGGTGACCCCTAGTTCTTATATTGTGGGAATAAGTCAGTAACGTTTCCTTATCCGCTTTTTTTCCTTATTCACCTAAGTTCGAATTTGTTAAATCAGGAGTTCTTAAGTCGAATTTGAAACCATTTCCTAGTGTAGACGCATCCTCAGTGCCCAGCATCTTTCCCCGGAGATTGCAATCCATAAGGTCCCTCTGCAGAGGAGCTAATCTTACCCTCCTATTTCGAATTAGGAGGGTAGTGTAGACATACCCCCAGAGATTGCAATCCATGAGGTCCCTCTGCAGAGGAGCTAATCGGTGGCTCTTTTGTTGCTCTCTTTCAGCTCGAATTCACGGAAGACCAGATTGAAGGTGAGGAGGATTTGCATCTCTTTCCCGGTGGTGGCGGTGGGTGACACGAACGCAGCCTCGAAAGCTTATCATTCACGTGACAAAGAGGACACTTACTTACCAGCTTGGCTTTGCTCTTTGTTTGTTGGGAGCTGCGGGATGGTAGGACCTGAGGGCGTCAACTGACATCGGAGACCTACTGTGCTAAGTCCTGTCCAACAGCATAGAAAGAAACAATCCCTGCTCCCTATGGGATAAATAGACATATTTTTTCCCACCCCGATCAAGCCCACACAGAATAGCATACACACCGGTTGTAAAGCTGGGATGAGTCAGGCCCCCTGGTGGAGTCTGGAGAAACGGTCATTCATCACTTCTCTTTTACGTCTACACTGCAATGCTATTCCAAAATAACTTTGAGTATGTCTACACTTGCACCCTCTTTAGAGAGAGGGATGCAAACGAAGATATTCAAAATTGCAAATGAAGCTGGGATTTAAATATCCTGTGCTTCATTTGCATATTCGCGTTATGGAGCTTTTTTGAAATAGCGCTATTTCGAAATAACGGATGCTGTCAAGATGCGGTTATTTCTAGAGAAAACCTTTCTCTTGAATTACCACTTATTCCTCATACAATGAGGTTTACTAGTTATTTCGAGAGAAGGGTTTTCTCTCGAAATAACCGCGTCTTAACAGTGTCTGTTATTTCAAAATAGTGTCAAAATTCTGTCAAGCTGGAGGATTTCTTAGGGTGTGTCTACAATGCAGGGCTTAACTGGAAATAAGCTGCGCAAATTGAGCTATGTCAATTGCGTAGCTTATTTCAAAATAGTGTCTACACAGCACTTGTTTCGAAATAGACCCCTCTTCCTCCGACTTCCCTTACTTCTCGTACAATGTGGGTTTCAGGAGTTGGAGTAAAAAGTCCTCCATCTTGACAGTATTTTGACACTATGGCGACATCTACACTACGAGTTTTCTGGGAAAAAATATGCAAATGAGGGACTCATTTGCATGAGTCGTGATCTCATTTGCATATTTTCTGCCAATCCATTTTTCCGCTGGGGTTTTTGCACAAAAACAAGCAGTGTGGCCGTTTTCTTTGTGCGCAAACCATCCTTTTTCTGCAAGATCCTTTTGCCCCCAAAAAGGAGGTTTACCAATCTTGCAGAAAAAGGCTTTTTGCGCAAAAAGAAAATGTCCACACTGCTTGTTTTTGAGCAAAAACCGCAGCGCAAAAGTGAATTGGCAGAAAATATGCAAATGAGATCACGACTCATGCAAATGAGTCCCTCATTTGCATATATTTTGCCCAGAAAACTCACAGTGTAGACGTAACCTATTTCGAAACAACTGCTAGCTGTGTAGAGGCGGATTAAGTTATTTCAAAATAGTGTTGCAGCGTAGACATACCTTCATTCCGACTCCTGTAACCCTCATTGTGCAAGGAGTAAGGGAAGTCAGAAAAAGAAGGCTCTTTTTCAAAATAACTGCTGTGCAGATGTTCCCAATTTCGAAATATGTTATTCCGAAATAAGCTACGCAATTAACGTAGCTCAATTTGTGTAGCTTACGTCGAATTAAGTAGACGCACCCTTAGTCTGCAGAAGAGAAGAGTGTGGGGGGACTTGATAGCAGCCTTCAACTTCCTGAAGGGGGGTTCCAAAGAGGATGGAGAGAGGCTGTTCTCAGTGGTGGCGGATGACAGAATGAGGATCAATGGTCTCTAGTCACAGCGGGGGAGGTCTAGGTTGGATATTAGGAAAAACTATTTCCCTAGGAGGGAGGTGAAGCACTGGGATGGGTTCCCTAGGAAGGGGGTGGAATCTCCATCCCTAGAGGTTTTGAAGTTCCGGCTGGACCAAGCCCTGGCTGGGATGATTGAGTTGGGGCTGGTCCTGCTTTGGGCAGGAGGCTGGACTCGATGACTCCTTGGGGCTCTTCCAGTCCTAGGACTCTATGGGTATGTCTAGACTACATGGCTCCGTCGACGGAGCCATGTAGATTTGTTTTTTTGGCAAAGGCAAATGAAGCCGCGATTTAAATGATCGCGGCTTCATTTACATTTACATGGCTGCCGCGCTGAGCTGACAAACAGCTGATCAGCTGTTTGTCAGCTCAGCGCGGCAGCCATGTAAATGTAAATGAAGCCGCGATCATTTAAATCGCGGCTTCATTTGCCTTTGCCAAAAAAACAAATCTACATGGCTCCGTCGACGGAGCCATGTAGATTTGTTTTTTTGGCAAAGGCAAATGAAGCCGCGATTTAAATGATCGCGGCTTCATTTACATTTACATGGCTGCCGCGCTGAGCTGACAAACAGCTGATCAGCTGTTTGTCAGCTCAGCGCGGCAGCCATGTAAATTTAAATGAAGCCGCGATCTATGACTCTATGGCACTTGGTCATATGGTTGGCATGGAGATGCTTGTTCCCTCCGAGATGCTGCAGAAGGACCAGACTTCTCACACCGAAGAGTACCCGAGGGTTCCTTTTAGATCCATCAAGTCCCTTTGCTTTCTTATGAGCTTTGCACGCCTCCTCATTGGTCTCCCAGCTCTTGATCCCTGAGCCGTGTGCTCCCTGTTCCTTCCAAGCCTGGCACAGAGACATGCCGCAGGATCCGTTGAGGGGAAGGATCATGGAATATACTCCTCAGTTAAATCAGTGCACTTTCCCAAAAGGCCCTGCCCTTCTTGGCAGAGGGTTGAAAGTCACACATCATTCGGATTACAGCCTTGCAACCTAGATTTATTACATTAAGAACAGGACACATGCCAAAGAATAAAATTACCCCATGTATCCATATGTCCTTAAAAAAAACCCTTCAAAAACAACAACAACAAAACCCAACCCACCCTTCTTTGCCTTTGAAAACTCTTCCCTGAGTTAAATTTGGATTTAATTGGTTGCAGCTACATAACGGAGCACAGGGCCTTTATTTTATTCCAATTTATTCCATGCGAAGGAAAGCATCAAGTTCAATTTCCTAGACGTCCGCCCCCGTCCCAGCATCTGACGCGTAAGTGGATCTGATGCGGACCTGCAAAAACCGCAAGCTGGAGCCGCCTGGAGCTTGGCACCTAAAGTGCGATTTGTTTAGACCCAATAGATGCTTTGTGGTTGAACGTCTGCTGGGGTTTTTAACAGGTTCTCCGATGCTGGAAAGGTAGCGCTGACAGACGGGGTAAGAGCAGGGGGGATACTCCCCCGTGAGTATCATACCACAGGCTGGCTGGAAAGAGGAAGGACGCATTTCTTGCGTTGGAAGATTTTTCTCATCCAGAATGTCGGGGATTCATGACTTGTCTGGAGCCTGACAGATAAAGGATTCTGCTCCCTCTTCTGCCACTGACATATTGCGCAACCTTAGGGAAGTCATTCCCTTGCCGTGTGCCTTCCATTCTGAAAATAATAGCTTATCTTAAAACAAAATGGCTAATGATTTGGGAGGGGGTGTCCGTTTCTGGGGTCCCATCTCTAAGAAAATAAGAATGGCCACACAGGGACAGACCACAGATCTATCTTGCCAGTGTCCTGTCTGTCAACAGTGGCCAATACCAGGTGCCCCAGAGGGAATGAACAGAACAGGGAATCATCAAGCGATTCCTCTCCTATCAGCCATTCCCAGCCCCTGACAACCAGAGGCTAGGGACATCATTTCTATCCATCCTGGCTAATAAGCATTGATGGTCCTGCCCTCCATGAATTTATCTAGCTCTTTTTTGAACTCTGTTAAAATCCTGGTCTTCACAACATCCTCTGGCAAGGAGTTCCACAGGTTGACTGTGTGTTGTGTGAAGAAAAACTTCCTTTTGTTGGTTTTAAACCAGCTACCTCTTTCTTTCATTTGGTGACCCCTAGTTCTTGTGTTATGGGAACACATAAATAACTTTCCCTTATTCACTTTCTCCACACTTGTCATGATTTTATAGACCTCTACCATATCCCTCCTTAGTCTCCTCTTTTCTAAGCTGAAAAAGCCCCAGTCTTTTTACTCTCTGTTCATAAGGCACCCCTTCCAAACCCCTCATCCTTTCGTTGCCCTTTTCTGAGCCTTTTCCAATGCCAAGAGATCTTTTTCGAGATGTGGCGACCACATCGGCATGCAGCATTCAAGATGTGGGCATACCTGGCATCCAGGGCTGCGTGTGCACGATTGCTAAGCTCACTGGGCCTGATTCTGAGCTGCAAGCCAGCCCCCTTGCACCTTTTCTGTGGCACGGAGGGGTTGGAAACCAGCGGGATCTCCCCAACAGGGTGGAGGAACCCCTGCTGGCTCCTGTACTCTGTCCCTTCCCTCTGGCACAAAGGCCCTTTGCATGGGGAGGAGTGAGGGACAGTTGTAGCACTGACGTACTCTGTCTGCAGCAGGAAGGAAGAGCCTCTGGACACCACCAGCAGAGGGTATCTTTTGGAGCAGCCCGGAGGCTGCTCTAAAGTGCATAACGTGCCCAAAGCTGGGCTAGACCATTCCTGGAATCAGGAATCCAAGCCCATCTCCATCATAGACCCTGCCCCCAGCAGTTGCACCCACCAGCTCCTGGGTAGAACTGAGAACCCCCGTCTGCCCTGACCTTGTAGTGGGGAGGCTGCCGCATGCTATAAGGACAAACTATTTCCCTAGGAGGAGGGTGAAGTACTGTAATGGGTTCCCTAGGGAAGGGGTGGAATCTCCATCCCTAGAGGTTTTGAAGTCCCGGCTTGACCAAGCGCTGGCTGGGATGATTGAATTGGGATTGGTCCTGCTTTGGGCAGGGGGCTGGACTCGACGACTCCTGAGGTCTCTTCCAGCCCGAGGATTCCACAAAATGCAGAGCCGGGGAGGAGGAGATGGACCCGTCTCATTCCTGTTCGGCCCCGTCAGCTGGCTAGAGCATGGGAACCACAGCAGCATCTTCTCAGGGAAGGAACTAATGGAATCCAAGCTGCTCTTCCACAAGGCAACGGCTCTTCCCTCCTCCCCTCCCCCGAACAATGCCCAGCAGCATCCGCCCAAAGTCTGAGGCGAAACCCCAAA